GGGGGGATATGCCTCTTTTTTTGGCTGGTTTTCGTAATTTTTTTTTTTTTTTAATTCTTTTCCTTCCCCAAAATGCATTAAGTTTTTTTTTTTTTTGGTCTGCTTAAAACATAACATGGGTTAAACCAGTTGCTACAGTCCGATGTCGATATTCCAATGCTGCATGCCGGGATGTGTTATCTTTTGTTTGGGCTGGACTGTTGTTTGATAGGTTTATCTTCGTAGCGATGAACATATACGTATGGCATAATCTGCCCAGTTACCACACTCACACACACACACGCACACACACACATACATACACACGCGCGCGCACGCACACACACAGTGTAATGATGTTTAAATGTGCTTGCCGTCTTATCAGTGTTGTCATAACCCAGTGTGTTAAGCTCGTGGGGATACTTTAACCCTGGGCGTGTCAAAAAAGTGTGTGCATGTGTGTGTGTGTGGGGGGGGGGTTTACGGGTGAAGAAGGGGGCGCTATTACTAAACATGTTCAATACCTTTATCTATTTTTACTTTAACCCGTTTTATAGATTAGCCTCATGAGAAAGAGAAAAGAGCGATCGATATCGGCTTAAGGGCTGAAGTCGTCTCAGTTCTGACTTGTTATATTTTGGCGTAATGTGTCCGTTTGAATTAACCGCAGTGGAGACCAGTGCGGATCTCCACTCATGCTGCTCGTGTATTCAAGCAGAAATAGTCCGGCAGAGTGAGGGAGGAGGGTAGGGACAGCGCGTACAGCACCGGGTGGCATCCACTGATGGCTACTCCACTGATGGATACTCCACTGATGGCTACTCCACTGATGGCTACTCCACTGATGGCCACTCCCCCGATGGCTACTCCATTGATGGCTACTCCCCCTGATGGCTACTCCACTGATGGCTACTCCACTGATGGCCACTCCCCCGATGGCTACTCCATTGATGGCTACTCCCCCTGATGGCTACTCCACTGATGGCTACTCCACTGATGGCTACTCCCCTGATGGCCACTCCCCTGATGGCTACTCCACTGATGGCTATCACTGACCTCCCATTCCCCCACTCCTATGGGTGCACCCATCACTGACGCCCCACCTCCACTCCCCAGGGAGCACCCATCACTGACTCCCCACTCCCCCACTCCCCAGGGAGTACCCATCACTGATGGCTACTCCCCTGATGGCCACTCCCCTGATGGCTACTCCACTGATGGCTACTCCACTGATGGCCACTCCCCTGATGACTACTCCCCCTGATGGCTACTCCCCTGTTGGCTCCTCCCCTGATTTCTACTCCACTGATGACTACTCCCCTGATGGCTACTCCACTGATAGCTACTCCACTGATAACTACTCCCCTGATGGCTACTCCACTGATAGCTACTCCACTGATGACTACTCCCCTGATGGCTACTCCACCGATGGCTACTCCACTGGTGGCTACTCCACTGATGCAAACAAGAAATGCGAATTTTACTACTTGCAAAATTCTAATCCAATGATGTGATTTATAATGCCGGCACTGGAGTGGTTGTTTTTCTACCCAATGCAATTATTTATTTATTTTTATGAATTTGAAACCTGACAATATTATCAGATATACCTGTTAGAGCAAGGTGTGCAACTTGCGGCCCACGAGACGAACAGAAATTAGATTAATTTGTTTCGTGAAATTTTCTCATTTTCAAATTATTGTCCTAACAAGGAATGATAACTATTTATTACGTTGCACAACTTTCTAACAATCACAGCATATTTACAACAACAAAAAAGTTATTGCATAGCTTATTTTCCAACACAACTCGTGAATTTTCGGAGCCCATATTCTGTGATGTACAATAAAGTCGCTAGCATCTCAAAAATCTGGCGTTGCAGTCATCTCCTAAGTGTTGGAACAA